GGTGGTCGCATCCGGCGGGTGCATGGCCACAACCTGAAGCTGTACCTCAAGAGCGACGTGGATCCGCTCTTGGAGGCACCTGTTCCTTCACCTCCCTGAGTATCCACCATGGGCGTCCAGCTAAAAGACGGTAAAGAAGCGCTTGTGGGGAGGCAACCCCACCACGGTTTGATTTTCTTTCTTGTGTTTTGAGTCGGATTGTAACCCGGTTTGGGTTTGGTTTGGTTTTCTTTTGGTTTGGATGATGTTTTATTGGGCTGACCATTGGACCTAACATACTGTGTTGAGATCTTTGGTTTCCTCTCGCTGTGCATGTCTTGACTGGTCCCCTCTCCAGTCCGCTTCACTCGACTGGCCCGCTTCCAGTCTCCTGCAGTCCATGCATACCGGTAACATCGTTCCCCTTATCCTTCCCTCTTCTCCATTGAGGGCAATGTCGATCTTAAGTGTGGGGGGGTGTTTATCTTTTGACTGCATTAGATCTGTTTGTGTACTTGGAGCCTAGTCCACTGTCCAAATTTTTAAATTTGAGGGCTCCAAGTACGTGTTTCCTTGCAATTGCCTGCTCAGTATGCTTTGAATTGACAGTCTTTATAGTAATATGCAACCTAGGGAGGTAGTGTAGCACTATGGAGGATGTTGATGCATTTAAGAAATCTCATTTCTTCTTCATATTGTGTTGGTTGATTGAGTGAATTAGTGATCTTAGGACCCTTGAATTGTGTGATGTTGTGGATTTTCTACCTGTCATGGACTCTTGTGTCATGTTTTGAAAATAACAGGTGCTCGAAATGTGCTTCCAAATAAACGTCTCCCGTGCGAATAGGGCGAAAGTGTGTAAGGGGAGACGGGAATTCGTTCCCAATTTCCACCTACTACCTCCAGCCCCCTTACATGTCTTTCCCCCGCACGAGGCTCGAGACATCCGCTCCTGGCATGGCCGGTAAGAGCAGGTTGGGACCCTTGAAAAAGAAAAGAAAAGAAAAATATCAGAAAACAAGCAAAACAGGAAAAAAAGGGGGTTCCAACCATCTTTAAGCAGAAAATAGAGCACCTTGAAAAATGTGAGTCCATGGTCTTTTGTTTTTGAGAATCTCTCCATCCACAATTCATTTGTCCTCTGTTCACTATTTGCCATGATGCCGAATCGATACTAGTGCTCTCGCCGAAGAAGCTATGAGATGACTTGTGCGTCGGTTGACCTCGTAAGTTGCTAAATGATCTAGGAAGTCCTCTACCTACGATCTGGGTTGTTTGTTGCTATAGAGGTCTGGAGAGTTGCATTGGTTTGAGTTAGGTTTGCTTGGGGACAAGCAAACGGTTAAGTGTGGGGGAGTTTGATAACGATGTAATTGCACATGTTTGCGCCCCTAGTTCTTATCCGTTTGAGGGGCATAGTCGTGTGTTATGGCCTATTTTACGCCGGGTTGTGCTATTTTGTCATATTTCAGGTCCCAGGCGTCAAAGGGAAGGCTAACCACGAGTTTCGGGGCATTCGGAGGTCATTTCGTCAAGCTGGGGCCAAAACACGGGCACACCTAAGGCATTACACGGCCGTGTTCCTGTGGCCGTGCTTTTTATGCCGAGAGCTGAGTTGATTACACGGGCAGGGCCGAGACAAAGCACGGCCGTGTTCCTCAAAAGCACGGCCATGTCCAACGCGAAGCACGGCCGTGTTTCTCCCCAACTGCTGGCCGTGTAATTAACACTGGCCGAGACACGGGCAGGCTCAGGCAAAGCACGGTCGTGCCCTCGACCGTGCTTTGGCCACTGATGCCTTTTTAAGCAGATTTTCAGCCAAACAGAAGGGGATTCGAGTTTTAGAGAGAGAGATCAGTTCCTAGAGAGAGAAAGCGACGAACAAGAGTCTCCAAGCGCCCTAGCTTGATCTTCAACACCATTGGAGGCTTGTTTGAGCTTGGAGAAGTGCCGATCAACGTCCAGGAGCAGGAATCCATCCTTCACAGTATGAATTCCGCGTCTGATTCTGCTTTTGCTTTCTTCTCCATGGAGTAGTTCTCCCATTCATCTGGGTATGGAGAACCCTAGATTTGTATGTTAGGTTTTATTGTATGAACCCAAGTACTGATTCTATGATTGATTATATTCGATTGAGGTTTGAATGATTGAATGACTTGAATCCTGATCAAATTCCTGTTGTTTCTGCTTTAACCTAGAATGAGAATATCTGCCTAGGTTGATAGAGCATCCTTGATTGAAGGTAGGGAGTTGGTGACTTTAGTCGAGGAACCAACTCACTATTCTGTACCGGATTTACTCCGGTAGTGGAGGTTTTGTTCTTAGGGCCTCAATCTGTCTACTCCGGTGGAGGTTAGTCGCCCGCTAGAGATTCAGATTGAGAGGGTCTGAAGACCTTTAGTCGAGACTTCAGGCTGTTTAAGAACCTTCCGCAGTATAACTATCATAGAAACTTAACTTGGTAATTACAATCCGGCTTAACTGCAGTCTAGGGGGAACCATATCCGGGTGACCTCTCTTAACCTGAATACAACCGTTTACTTGCTTTGTTTGTTTGGTAGTTTAGACTTGCATTCCAGTTACATTGCTAGATAACAAGAATTCACTGAGTAGTCATCAAATCTAGGACCCGGGTTGATAATTAAAACCAAACCCGCTATACTACACTTTAGGAAGTGGTTTCACTTGGCCAATTCCTGGAGTGACAGTAGAGTCTAGTCAGCTACCTAGTCGCTCAATCATCCATTCCAATTTCAAAAACTTCAATGCATGACAATTGCAATCAATGAGTACTCAAGTCAAGGCATCCATCCATTTTCACACATATGAGAACTAAACACTTGCACCAACCTAATGCAATTCTCAATCATCATAATAAGATGCACTCAATCAAAAGTAATCAATCCAAAGTCAATGCCAATAAACACAAGTTTCTCCAACAACCAGCCACTTAGATCAAGCATTCACACACATTCACATGCCGATCACAAATGATACACCCCCACATTTAATCACGACATTGTCCGCAATGGAGAAGAAGGGTAGGGTGAAAAAGTTACCAAAAATTGGCAAGTGAAAGTTGAACATAGATTTAATGAAGAAAAAAAAAGAGTTGAACATAGATCGGGGCAGAAAATGGGAGCTTCACAAAGAAAAGAGGCAAACACAAACACACACAAACATACTTGCACAATGCGAGGAGGTTATTACACATAACAATATTCAGCATCATAGTTAAAAGAGAAAACACACACACGATAGTAGGGTTATAGGTATAATATGCCCCTCTACTATGACGTTTTATCAAACATGCCCCTCTACTATTTTTTACATCAAATATCCCCCTATAGTTTGAAAAACTTATCAAACATACCCTTCTATTAAAATTTTCATTGAAAAAATCGTCAATCGTGGTTGAACCGAGATTTAGATGACCCGACATCAGCAAATGGGAGGAAAAATGTCAGTTTTGTCCCCTATTTTATTTCCCTGGGTCTTTTCAAAGTGAAATTATTTGAATGATTTGATTATACAAAAGAACGAAAAAAAAATCTAAAGCGAATTTATTATGGATATTTTAGTCATTTGTGTCGCCCAAACTAAAGTTCGGCCTTGGTTAACGGTTTTTGGATGAAAATTTTAACAAAAGGGCGTGTTTGATCATTTTTACAAAGTACAGGGGCATGTTTGATGTAAAAAATAGTACAGGGGCATGTTTGATAAAGCGTCATAGTAGAGGGGCATATTATACCTATAACCCCACGATAGTACTTGTTCACACACATTAAAAGAAACATAAAGTAAAGTTAAGAGTTCAAGTGGAGAAGTCGAGCAAAAAGATCTGCTCAGCCACGTATCTCACTCGGTCGACTACCTCTCTCGAGTTGGAGACAATTGACATTCTTCCTGAGCTACAATGCAATGTCGGTCGGTCATCCTCTCCAACAAATGATGGGAGTGGTGACGACTATCTCCCTCGCGTGCCAACTAGGCTGACAGTCCAACAAACTACTCCTCGAGGCGAGTGACCCGAGCCTCAAGGTGGGTGATGGATGAGGAAGGATCGGCTCCTACCGATGATGATGAAGATGATTCCCCAGGGTGTCTACGATGGGGCTGGCGTGACTGAGAAGCCTCCTAAGGAGAGGGCATATCTGGTGCATCTGGCTCTCTGGTGCCTGCTCCGCGTATGGCCTTGTGGCAGCAAAAGAGCGGAGTCTGTCAATGTACTCGATGCCCCTCTCCTCTCTGATCAACCGCATGTAATGCGACATCTCAACTAGGAATGGCTCTATCCGGCCCACCACTGTGCAACACGAGGTGTGTACCCCAAAGTGTCTAGCCAATCTCGTGATGATGCCTCCCAAGTGCATCGTGTCAACTCGGGGCAAACCCAGAATCCCGGCGAAGGCGCAAATACAATCCGACCCGTTAGCCCAACCCGAGTCCGCCCGAAAATATAAATTTTTATGACCCGAAACCCGAATGATCCAAACCTGATTAACCCATGATTTTTTGGGTAGGATTGGATGGGTTAGCGAGTCGACCGGTTAGACCCGTTATATTTTATATGTCACTCCCAAAATGATAAAATCACTCATAAATTGGTAAGATGTTTAAAAAAATTCACAAGGATTTGAAAGACATTTTTGGAGTTTAAGGGTAATCAAACATCATGTGTTTCTTGTACACATGTAATTGTTTTTCGATGATTTGCGCAATTTGTATTTTATCTCATTAGCATGGAAGGATTTGAGAATATCTATCTATCTATATTGGCTTAATTGCAAGTTTGGTCACTCGAATTGCTATAAAATTTTACGTTTGCCACTCAAATTAATTTATTCCATTTATAATCAGTCTAATTAGTTGAACAGTTCAAGTTCGGTCACTCTCCGTTAACCTCCGTTAACTTTGACTGACCGTTGACCGTTAAATGTATGACGTGGCAAATAAAAAATAATTAAAAAATTAAAATTAAAATTTTAGAAATATACATCATTATAAAAAAATTATAATTATAAAAAATGAAAAAAAATTATCACAAAAACTTGAACTGCCGCTCCGACCACTCTATTTCCAGATCGGACTTTCAACAAAGAAGAACGCGCTCGCCGTCGTGAAAATCGACCCGTTCTTCAATTTCGGACCATTATTCCCGCTCGCCGTCGTGAAAACCGACCATTATTCTTCCCCATCTCCGGACAAACCCACCCTTATTCCGGCATCGCACTTCCGTGAAAACTCACCGCCGCCTTTCTTCCTCGTCTTTCTTGTTCACGCACCTGCGGGAGCACGCGACGATGGTGCAGTTCGGAGGGGAGACGGTGAACTCGCGGGCGTCGGGGTTCCACACGGCGACGCAGATGGGGAGCGGGCACTTCGCCGGGGAAGGGTTCGGGAAGGCGTCTTACTTTAGGAACCTGCAGGTGGTGGATTGGGACAACAACCTCATCCCTCTCTTCAACCTCAAGCTGCTCGCCGACCACCCAAACTGCTACGACAACCAAGGCGGGATCAATAGAGTCTGGGGGAACTACTTCTACTATGGAGGCCCTGGCAGAAACATCAGATGCCCTTAATTAATTTTTTTTCATTTTTTATAATTATATATTTTTTATAATGATGTGTAATTTCTAAAAATTTAATTTTTATTTTTTAATTATTTTTTATTTGCCACGTCACACATTTAACGGTCAACGGTCAGAGTTGACTGCCACGTCAGTCAAAGTTAACGGAGGTTAACGGTGAGTGACCGAACTTGAACTGTTCAACTAATTAGAGTGACTATAAATGGAATAAATTAATTTGAGTGACAAACGTGAAATTTTATAGCAATTCGAGTGACCAAACTTGCAATTAAGCCTATCTATATCTATCCATATCTATCTATCTATCTATCTATCTATCTATCTATCTATATCTATCTATCTATATATATATATATATTACGACAATTCAAAACCAATCTCTTGCCACATAAGCATTTGGATTATCCACAATTTGCCAAGTTGGACAACTTTTTTACAAAAAATGTTATTAATGTATCTATGGAACTACCTCTCTCTTATATAATATTTCTATTTATTTTATATAATTATTCTTTTCCATTTATCCATTTATTGTTTTTTTACTCTAATAGTAAGTTACATGTTGATAAACTCAACCAAACACACATAAATAATAATTTTTTTATCAAGTAAACAAAATATAAATAATAAAACAGAGAGTGACATATATCATAATTGTTTAAATAAAAAAAATATCTGATTAAGCCTTATGAAGTAAATTTTATACTCATTTTTACTAAACTTGAAAGATAAGTTACATTTTGATGAAAAAACTAAACAAACATACACATAAGCAATAATGTTTTAATCGATTAAACAAAAAATATATGAAAAGATAGAAAATAAATAATTGACATTCAATTATCTTTGAAAAATAAACTATATTAATTTATATTTTGTTGCAATGAAACAACTCTTATTCGTAAAGTATATGTGTATAAAATAAAACAAGTATTATTTAGCAAAATGTCAGAGTATAATCTTGATCAAGTAGTTACATTTATTTATTTATTTATTTAAAAAAGATTTCTTATTCATTCGGATCATGTTCTACCTTAAACTCCTCAAATGAAGAGGAATCGCATGTGCAATAATTTTATAATGTGTCATATGTTCACATTAATAATATTAGTTCTATATCATGTTGATTGAACAAGCTCTATTGATGTCCTAAGTCATATGCTAAAAAAATTATTTCAGATTGGAGTTATCATCGACGATTATAAATCAAAATTTTTAAAATGACTTAAGTATGATTATTGACGAACTTTGACTTCATACCCTACGATGAGACACATGATTCCTTATCAATTATTGAAATATGTGTGTATTGGAGACACTCTTTATCAATTATTAATATATAAGTGATAAATCTTTGAAAATTATACATTCAACGATCATGTTAAGACCAAAATCCTCGATACTGTGTGTGAGTGTCTTAGATAGAGATTATAAACCAACATATAAACAATGACCACAGGTTGAGGTTTAGTCTAAACTTCAAGAATTAACAATTGATACGTATTGTATAATATACTAAATTTAAGTGTCTTGATAAAAAAAACTAACAACCAAAATGAAAATGAGTCGAGATTAGAGAATTTAATCATGATGGGGGCTAAGGTGTGTGTCAAGTTTCAATATGGATGAATAAATTGATCCAATACTGAAGTATCTTTACTATGAATTTCTAACTAAAAAATCCTAATCTTTACAACGTTGGCCGAGAGTTCGTCCAAACTCGAGGATCATGAATGTGTATTATATTTCCAAAGGACCTAAACTCTCAACCCCTTTCGGGGGCTAAATACCTCTGATCACAACCATACGTGCCAAAAAAGAATAAAAAGAAGCCCAAAAATAGCAAAATAGAACATAACCTCCAATGGTTGTCTGACGTTATGGGGATAAAAGCGGGATCTCTATCAAGGGGGTGGGGCATAGGCAAACAACACTCTTAATATGAGTATTAGGCGAGATAAGATAGGTCTGACGAAGTATTCGGATAATTTTGAGTCTATCATATGCACACACAAATATATATATATATATATATACACGTATCCTAATTCACTAACCTCTCTAATTTATGCACATACTTTTTCATACCTATATATATATATTTATATATAATATCAACATATACTATACTTTTGATTTTACTAAAGATACGATAGAAGATAGGTATGACAAAGTATGTGCATAAATTAGAGGTTAGTGAATTAGGGGCTGGAGTTCACCAGGTTAGTGTATAGTATTATGCCCCAAAAAATCCGGTTAATTCGGGGTGTAAATAGTAAATCTCAATGGTCGTATGATAGTGTGAACGCAAGAGTATAGCGTACTCCTGGCGCACGCTAGCTTGAACTATATAGATGTGTGTGTGGTTCAGGTTGGCGTACACTAAATATTAGTGTTTTGGTTGACAAATTTTGACATAAGTTCTAAATGGGATGTGACAGCGGCATAATTTATGACTAGAAAACTAAAGCATCACAAGTGAGTGCTAAATATTGGAAATTTTCAAGAGCACAAAATAATTAGAAGATAAAAAATGATTTAAACATATAAATAAGTTCATTAATATAAATTATAAAATAAATCTCCCCGACCAATGGGCCGGGTGAAAAAGCTAGTGTTAATTGACATGTGTTAGGTAAACTATTGCCATGCATATGTGAAAATTTGTGTTCGTTAAAAAAATATGAAGTATGTTTGATATTGTTGTCGCAACCGTCCCTCCGGGGTTCAGGGTCGCGTTCGCTTTTGGAGTGGATCGAACACTCTTTGGTCGGCTCTAACCTTACGGTCAGAACCGAGATATGGTCTGCGATTAAGAGATATGGGTTCGGGAGTACGGTTATGTGTGGGGAAGTGAAATCACACCCCACAACGCCCTAAATTGGTACTACTTAAGTTGATAAGTTTTATATTAGTTGATTTTAGTAATTATGTATTTTTTAAAATCCTAATAGACCATTAATATATTTTTATTTCATTAGGTATAATTTAACTAAACGTCCATTGACGTATTAGTTTATGATTAGGTATTGTAGGTATTTTTAGGGCCTTACTGGACCACTAACGAATTGAAATCGTATTAGTTCTAATTTAAATTATACGCCCACTGACGTAAAAATTGAAGATAAAATTGATTAGTTAGTTGTACTCGAACCTTATCGGTTGCCTACGTACCCGTTAGACAGGATCAAAGTCCACGTAGTTTGTTAGAACTTTGATAATTTCAAATATACTTTTACCAAGTTCCGCTGATCGTGGTATTTGTATCAATGATTTTTTTGTTAAATAAAATTTAAGTTTATTATTATGAAATTATGAAAAGGGAATAAAAGGATTTCAATTATTAAGAGGAAATTTGATGTATTAGAAAAGAAACAGGATTAACCTAATTCGCATTCAATATTTCGTGCTATGGATGTTAAACAATATAAGTTAAACAGAATGATTAATTGAATGCATGATGGGCCAGCATCTCAACTAGTTAAATCGCAAGTTGTAGTACACGTTCGATCCCGAGAACCAGGGTTCGAAAATCGCTCACTACAATTTTGGTGATTTTTTGCCTCTTTTTAGAAAATAGAGAGAAATAGGGGTGTTTTGGTAAATGACAAAAACGCGGAGGCAGAGGGAAGAAAATATATGCAAACCCTAGGGGTAGTACGGTCTTCCAAGCCTTCGGGGTATATATAATCTCTAAGGGGAGAATGGAAACCTAACTCTAAGGGTATATATAATCTCTCACTCCTCCCTCTCTTGTTCTCTCAACCTCTCGTTTCACCTCTCTTCCTCTCCGTTGCTCCCGAAAACGAAAACCCTAACCAGCTGTCTCTCTCTCTCTCTCTCTCTCGTTATCCTTTCTTCCTCCCTCACCTCTCCTTTCTCTTTGCCTCCTTTGGGAGGAGAGGAAAGAAGGGGAAACCCTAAAAACCACAAAACAAAATCCTTCTTCATTCTTCTCTCGATCTGCCTCTCTCTCGGATCCGTCCACCTATTTCTCTCCTTGATTCTGAAAGCGACGAAAAAACAAAACGAGAGGAGGTGGCGCTGACGGCGGCGGTTGAGGCAAACACCGTCGAGACGAAAGCAAGAGGGCGTCGATCTGGGTAAGAAGATCGGTACATGCATCATTCTATCCTTTATATTTTTCAGTATTTTGACGATTCTGATTAATATCATATTTTTCTGGGTTTTGATTTCGAGCAAGGGGAAAAGGAGGGACAAGCCCGCCGATGCCGACCACAAAAACTCGAGCCGAGAACCTCTAATCAACTAGAAAGGCTTCGATCTAGGTAAGATTCAGCTTGCATGTTGTTTTTTTCCCGATTTACTTGAAGAGATGGTTTCTGGTATTTTTCTGGGTTTTGATTTTGGGCGTTTTCTATTTTGGCTTCGGATCTGTTGCGGGAACACGGGAAGTTGCTGGCGACGAGGGTATTTTTCGTCGGCGGTAACGGAAAAGAGACTGCCAGAGGCTTAGAGGTGATATGGGTAAGTTTATTTTCTGAGTTTTGTTTTGTTTTGTTTTGTTTTTGTACTTGAAGGATTCTGATTATCGATCCTGACTATTTACCCTGACTTATTACATATTTAGGAGCAGAGTGGCATAGGTGAGGTCTCCTACCGGTCTTGAGAAATTTTGAACTAGAAAAAAAAAAACTCGATCATATGGCTATAGACTAAATGATTTGCGAACCTCAATACTTAAAAAAATGGTTGTGTGTGTTCTGGAATTTTGATGTTGGTGGATTTGATATGTGGTATTGTATCTAGCTCTAGATACTCTTGAAGTTAGAAAAAAAGGTTTTCTGAACTGGAAATTTAATTAACATGCTCCAAATTGTTCGTTTTGGCGATTGTAAATCACTGCCTCTGCCCGTGATTTGCTAGTTTGGGTACTATAAATCATTGCTACTGCTTATGATTTTGGGTAGATTATGAACTCTAAATTATAGTTATTGCTTGTGATTTTACCGAACTATGGTTGATAGTTGATTTGTGATTGTGAAGTTTATTATGCTATAGTAATTTTTGGATCTGAATCTATACTAATCTATAAGATTACAAAATGTAAAAAGGGTTTTAGATAATTTCTATGACCTTCTCAATTTGGTGACGTTCTAATTGTCGGGTTTGGTTATGGTATGATGGATATGGAATTTCTATTTGCTTATGGTGTTTGGTATTAGCTATGTTTCTTTGCAAAAAGAGAGATATATG